GCTGGAAGTCCCCTCCCTCCCCTATCACCACCAGTTTTGATGGTTCCAAAAGTGCTTCTGTCTGTGAAAGTGAGCTGTTCCATCAGGTAGCCAGCCAGCCACCCCATTCTTTCAGGATGTCGCCAAACCAACTAATTGGTCCTTCACTAGGATCTGGCTATACCCCAAGTCCATCAGCCCAATGACTGCCTTCCCATCAATCCATTCAATCCATACTGGTTCAAATAGGTTGGCAGGGGCCCTTTTCTGCATCTGGATTTCTGCCCTCCAGACTTGACTATAGCTACAGTTGATAAAGAGGCAATCTCGGTGTAGTTGTCCTGGTTGTGCACATGAAAAGCAGACCCTAGGGACTAGACAAGAGGTATACCCCAAGTTGTGGGTGAGGCTTTTCCCAGTGGGGTGGCCCCTTTTTGATGTCCAGGTGCCCCCAATCTTGATCTGCCCATACAGGTTTGGCCCCAAGTTACCCTAGCTTCTTGGGCACCTCCATCCAAGACTTCACTCCTTTACCTATACCCTTCACAGCCCTTGAGGTTAGCCTGGAGTGCCATACTGGAGGGTTATTGCACCTGGGCTGTCCTTCAGTTCAGACTGCACTGGACCTCTGTATTCTGGCTGGTTACCTGTCTGCATCCCTGGAGGGCTATCAGCAGACATATAGTTCTTAATTGTGTTAGCTAACACGGTAATTAATGAGGTAAAAATCCCAGTGAAGATAAGTCAATTTATAGTTTGATTTTACCTCGAGTTAGTTAACTCCTTTTTTCCCTAATGAAGACAATGTTTCCCTAGGCTTTGGCCTCCCTGTGTAACCACAGGAATTGCCAGACTAGAGAGTAATCTAAGCCAGTATCCCACCTCTGAGAAAGGCCATCCTCCAGAGGTAGCTTCAAGGAACCTACACATGCAATTAAAAAAAAAAAGAAAGAGAAAAAAAAAAAGGATGGTCAACTCCAATGGTTGTAAAGAAAAAGAATTCAGCACTCAGAGCATGTGAGACCAAAACCAACAATGGAGCGTTCAACAGAAACCGTCAACGGCTACAGACTGTCCCTCAGAAAGAACAATCAACAGAGCAAACTCTACAGAACAAGAAGTCTCAAGGACTCGAAACCTACCACTGCCAGTTGTTCCAACTAATGGATAGTCCAATGACGAAGTTGTTATGCATTCAGGTAATGTAATTAGAAAACCAGTACAATTTAGAGACACTTAAACTAATCCTTACTGAACTTCAAAGATAGTGTAATAGTGAAAATTTTGTAAATGGTAGGAATGTAGAACTTAATAGGGGAGATGTGATGGAATGTTAAGACTTATTATATTATTCAGACAGAAGATGGTCCTGTGTGTAACACCTTATTAAGCTAGCCTCAGCCATACCTAGCAGAACATTAAAGGACCTTATAGTGAATGCCCTTCGTATCTCTCTCTGGGAAGGAAGCTCTGTGGCCAGTCCATAGCTGGTACAGAAGCCTGACCTCCTAGTAGCAGCGTTGCAACCTACCGTGTACAAGAAATACATGACAATCATCAAGACCAGCCTCTGCAGCAGGAGAGTTTGCATTCCTTACACATTTTCACCTAATGTAACTCTGAATATTCTCAATCTATAGGACAGCAAAATTAACAGAAGAATTTGACTAAATGCTTGGCCTCAATGAGTTCCACAGGTTAACAATGTATTGTGTAAAAATCTACATCCTTAACAGTTTTTAAATTACTGCCTATCAATTATGTGGGATGTCCTTTTATTTCTATATTATGAAAAAGGATAAATAAAAGTGCACAATTTACCTTCTCTATCCTATTCATGAGTTTGTATACATCTCATTTCCCCTTTTATTTCTCTATCTTCTTTATTAAACCGCTCTTTGTTCAGAAGGATTCCCATGCCACCCATCTCTGGACCCCAATTTCTGAATATATTACAATGCCATATCGCTCAAAGGGATGGCCTCCAATACTGTTTTCAGGATCTCAGTCTATCCCTTTCAGCCTAACATTGCTTTTTTTGCCGTCCCTACATGGTGAATGGAGATTTTCACAAAGCTGTCTGCAATGACAATCAGGTCATTGCCTGAGGAGTTACAGTGAACACTTACATTGCTTCAGCACAATTTCAAAAGGACACTTTGGGTAGCCCAAATGCCAGTCTCCTATGTCATTCCAGAGAGAACACTCAGGTCCTCAGAGTGGAAGAATGCAAAAAATTATTTTGCAAACGGGGGTGATGTGTCCCCAAGTCATCTGACCAGAGAGACAGCAGCATTTGGGATTTAACCAATCCCAAACTGGGGGTCAGGAGGAAAACAAAGACCCTAAAACAGGGAAGTGTTGAAAACATTAACCCAGAAGTCAGAGGCATTAATCAGAGCCAAGCTGACGGGTTCAGGTTCTGCCCAGGGACAGCCTGTGCAGGACAAAGTTCACAAGGCACTGCTGGCTCAAAAACTGCATCTGACATTTCCCCATTCCAGGGATTCCAAAGATTTGTTTACCTCCCAGCTAAGATGTGACCAAACAAATGCTTCAGCTGAATGAAACAAACATTCAAAACATACACACCCCTCATTAGAGTGGGTCTGATCAGGAGATACTAGAAAAGCCACTTCCGCCCATGACATTCATCCCCTCTCTTCAAAAACAATCAGTTGTAACAGATGGAATTTCCTTCAGAAGCTATGGCATTAAGAGAGAAACTCCAAACTACTGCAGAAAAAGAAAAATGCCCCCAGCATCTCTCCAGAGCACAGGAAAGGTTAACGCTGCTAGACTGCCCTGAGCCTCTCACACAAGAGAAAAGGAGTACTAGTGGCACCTTAGAGACTAACCAATTTATTTGAGCATAAGCTTTCGTGAGCTACAGCTCACTTCATCACTTGCATCCAATGAAGTGAGCTGTAGCTCATGAAAGCTTATGCTCAAATAAATTGGTTAGTCTCTAATGTGCCACTAGTACTCCTTTTCTTTTTGCGAATACAGACTAACACGGCTGCTACTCTGAAACGTCACACAAGAGAGATTATATCTTTAGATAGAGAGAGATTTCTCTCTCTTCCCCCCTTGAGAGGTGTGTCTCATGGATTCTCTTGACAGGGAGGGATTGAAGGGAGCCCTCCAGAGGCCTTTGCTCACCTGAGTGCATGGAGGGGAGATAATCACACATCTTACACATTTAAAAGTCAAACGCAAGCTTGGTTCAATCGGCCTCAATACACCATCACCAATAATAATGACTGCCTGCAGACTGTGTGAGGCAGAGTGACATGGCTTGCTCTTCCACTGCTGGCCAGACTCTGTAGGGATCCATCATAATAAGCACTTACACAACAGCAGCACTTTATACACATTCATTCATCCTCACAACACCTTGCGAGGCAGGAAGTCTTAGCCCATTTTACAGGGGAGGAAATGAATAAAGAGAGGTAAGTATCGTTGCCTAGGGACACAGACTGAGTCAGCGACAGAGCCAATATTAGTACTCAGAAGTCCCGATTCCCAATGTCATGCTTACACTACACCCCTTATACAGAAACAGACAGTGTCAATGAAGCAGAGAAGCCAGTTTCACATAGGGTGACTAGATACCAAGTGTGAGAAATCGGAACAGAGGTGGGGGGGTAATAGGTGCCTATATAAGACAAAGCTCTGAATATCAGAACTATCCCTACAAAATTGGGACATCTGGTCACCCTAGTTTCACAGGTCCAAGCTTGTCTATGATCTGACAGTCCCTTCATTGCTACTGCTAAGACACATGAGATCTGGCAAATCTCTCTATAGGATGTTCCAGAAAGGCCATTCAACACTGAAGGGGTTTCAGCCATATCCTTTATCTAGACAAGCAAGCCAGGTTCAGATAAAATTTTGAGGAAGACGTCAAGAAGATACCTAACTGGGGTGACATTTCTAGAAGGCCAGTGAATGAGCAAGCCATAAATTCCTGGGTTACCAGAGTGGCAATTTTGTTTGCCAAACACCATACATCATCTGCAGCAAACAAGCAGGTTTTAGAAGTGGCAACAGTTGGTTTAGTTTGCAGAAAATGGTCTCAAGAGAGGTCCCCTTCCTCTGCTTTCTAATGCATGTACTGGCCCATCAGCTCAGAGATATCTGGAAAGCCCATCATGTTACCCAGAGTATCATTCAGGACAATCAGATACCTGCCAGCATCACAAATGCCCTGAAGGAGGCAAGGCTCAGCAGAGCTGGTCCCCCAGAAAGCAGCTGTAAATCAGCCTTCAAGAGATGGCAGAGTTGTAACAATCTTGAGACAGTCACAGGCCATTCACAAACTGAGCCCTGTTTCATTAAGTCTCCTTCCCCTGAAGCAGGCCACATAAGATCAACTAACTTTCACTCCATTCACAGTAACCGTGACACAGTACACCACACTGGCCAAAGAGGTGGCACCTCCAGCAACCTTCTTCACACCAGACCAGAGTGCCAGTCCACTCCCAACTTGGGAGAGGAGGGAGAAATGCAATGACAACAAATCAAGGCCATGTCTACACTTGAAAGTTACACTGGTTTAACCAAGAGACATTTTTAAACCAGCAAAACTTTTGTGCCTATACTAATCATAAGAGGAGTAGCACAGTAATATGGTGTCATGCACGACCAAAGACACAACCCTGATGAGCCCAAAACCTCACATACTTATTGGTTCTATCTCTCCAATGAATGGTCTCATGTCACAGGTTGAGACTCCCTAAGAGATTTCTAGCTTCCAGAAAGGATTGAGCCGAACCCAGCAGGTTCCCTGCAAAAACTGGATTTTAATCTGGTGAGCTACACCAAAGATCCCAATATACTAGCTAGCCCTAATAAGAACCTGAGGCTAGCAGGAAATTCCTTCTTTCCTTAACCCAAATCCCAACCCACATGCCCCCAGGATGGGGGTCAAATTCCTTCTCTCACCCTCAAGTTATGGCAATTAGTTCAGCCCCATAAACCCCTCCAAAAGCAGTGATCTCAGCCCACCACGAACTCACTCAAAAGCAAAGAAGAGGGCACAGGTGCCAAGAATTAAGAAGAGTGTCAGGTAGAAGATGCCCTTCTGGCGGGCCATCATGATCCGACCATCGCAACAGAAGGTGTTCCTGCCTGGCAGCTTCTCCCATTTCCGCATCGCCTTCTTCCTCACCACCATCACCGACATGACTGCTCCTTCAGAGGGCGTAGGGCAACCAAGTGAAGTCCAGCTTCTGCTCCACCCTCATTGAAAAACACGGCATCATCAAGAGTCCAGCCACGGCCACTAAAGAGATCAGAGACAAGGACATTACCATGGGCTTGGATGCTATGCAGCAGTGCCCTCCAACAGCACATGGATCAAGGGAGCTGTCCAATTTACAATTAGAGGCACAACATTCTTCCCACCACCTCAAATCCAGCTCCTCCACACACAACCAGCTCTCACAGCTTAAGTCATTCTATGCAGGATATCTGCAGCTAACAGGAGTTGTCAGCCTTGCCTAATGGGGAGAGGACAGCCTTTGTAGCTCTGGAGTTCCGCCTTTATATCCACCCTCATGAGGTCATGGCACACAACAGCATATCTTTGTAGAGAAATCTTAATATCTTGCACTTTGTCTGGGTACTTATATTGCCCCATCACTAGAATACACGTGTCACACAAACATTAGTGAAGTTATATCCAACATCCCTGGGAGGTAGGGATGTATTATCCCCATTTTGCAAAGGGGACTGAGTCACAGACTAATTAAGTGACTTGCCCATGGCCATCCAGGAAATTTGTGACAGAGCCAGGAATAGAAACCAGGTCTCCTGAGTCCAAGTCCCATGCCCCTAAACATCAAACCATCCCTTCTCTCTCTTCCCTCTTTCAGCCATGGAACTCACATTACTTAACAAAAGTCACACATATAGTTAGGCTTTTGCAGATGCAGGATTAGAACCCAGGCCTCCTGACTCCCACCTTCTGGACCCTTGACAGCAGACCACAGTACTTACACTTTACAGTCTGGGATGGGGTTTCCTGGTAACATGGGTCCATTATGGCCCCTCTAAGATGACTCAGACCCTGTATCCCCATGCAACATGTTAGACCTAAATTATGGGTTTGAGCATTGGCCTGCTAAACCCAGGGTTGTGAGTTCAATCCTTGAGGGGGCGATTTAGGGATCTGGAGCAAAAATTAGGGATTGGTCCTGCTTCAAGCAGGGGTTGGACTAGATGACCTCCTGAGGTCCCTTCCAACCTTAACCTTCTATGAATCTATGTGTTAGAAACCCTAGATTCATGCAGCAAAGACCCTCCCCAAGTTCTCTTCCCATCACAACTATCCTCCTCAACTGCTAAAGATGCAGGGTGCATAGAGGGAATAAAGACAAGCATGTGCCCCATAGCTAAAGCTACTTTAGTCACAAAGATTTACACAGTGAACTCATAAGGGGTGGAACTGTGGGATTTTCTTTGGTCTATCCATTCTTCCCTCATCTACTGCTTTTCTAATTCTCTGCCAACTACAGCACTGCAGACCTCCTGAAGTTTGCAGGAGAGGAGCCTCACATCCAACCACCTTAGAAACACGGCCCCTTGGTTTGCAGGGCAGACTGGCGTTGCACCCTGGACACTCTGGGGCAGATTCATACAAATGTACAACTGAGGTTTCTAGTTAATTCAATATGAAAATACAATCAGTATAGCATCCTCCTCCTGTTTCTTAAAAATATATTACTATTTTACATCACCACCAAGTTTTTAGTTTGCAGCATTATTTTGATATTACCAATAAAAACTGCTTTGTAAAACATGTTTGGGGATGCCTCTAGCATGTGGGAGGAGATGCAGCCCTTCATTCCCTGCCTCTTGTGAGAAAGGTCTGAAAGGAGTAACTCTGAGGGGTTGCAACTTCTAGTTTCTCATCTCAATAATAAGCAGTTTCTGCACTAGACTCCTCCCTACCCAAATATCTTTCACTGCAGCAGACAATCTCTCTAAGTACATTAAGTGGCAGAGAAACAGTTAACAATGTTTACATTTAAGCTGCCATCACTAGGTTTCAGGTCCATCCCCCACCCAGATAAGGGAAGGGAACACTTCACACCTCTCCTATAGCATCAGAATAACTGTGGGCTGAGGCAGATGTCACTCGCTCATCTTGGGTTGAGAATTTGTTTTTAAATGAAAGCTAAAGATAGAGCACAATTATGTAGCTACATTACACATGGACTCGGACGTGTGCAAATCCAGGATCTGCACAAAGCCCCTTCAGCAAAGAAAAACAGAGAAAGGGAACAAACAAAAACAGCAAAACAAAAACCACAGATTTGGTGGGTGAGACAACAGAGATAGGAGCTCATGAACAGAGGAGAAGAATGTTATCCCTAGCTCACAAGGAGAGACAACCCACCATCCCACAGGGATCTCTGGACTTTTCTTCTGCACAGCCAGACAGGGTAGTACAGAGGCATCTATAGATACCGCATGCCAGGCAAGCTAGATCCAAAGGAGAGCAGGGAGAGTGGCAGCACACACCTCAGCCCTCGCAGAGCCCTTCACCTGAGAAAAGGAGCACAATGGGTGGGGAGCGGAGAGTGGGGGTGGGAGCTAAATATCTTCTCCACTGGAACGGGGAACTCTAGGCCTCACACTAATGGCCTCTAAGCCCTGAGCCAAGGAGTCCGGGGACTGGGGCTCTACTGCACCCCAGGCCAGGCTGCTCCGTCTAAGGAGCCAAATCGGAACTCCCAGACCCAGCCACACCCAACTGGGTACACTTGGCTATGACCCCCCCCCACCCCACGCCTCTCCCCCCCCGAGCTAAGACCCCCCCACGCCTCTCCCCTCCCCCCCAAGCCGTGATCCCCGACTCTGTTTCTCCCCGAGCCGTGACCCCCCCCACATCTTTCCCCTCCCCCCCGACCCAAGACCCCCCCACGCCTCTCCCCTCCTCCCCCGAGCCGTGATCCCCCGACTCTGCTTCCCCCCGAGCCGTGACCCCCCCACACCTTTCCCCTCCCCCCAACCCCGCCCCTCCCCTCCCCGAGCCGTGACCCCCCCACACACCGCTTCCCCCCGAGCCGTGACCCCCCCACAGCTTTCCCCTCCGCCCGACCCAAGACCCCTCCCACGCCTCTCCCCTCCCCCCCGAGCCGTGATCCCCCGACTCTGCTTCCTCCCGAGACTTGACCCCCCAACTTCTCCCCCGCGAGCCGTGACCCGCCCCACGCCTCTCCCCTCCCCCCAGAGCTGTGACACCCCCCCCTCCGCGACTCCGCTCCTCCCCCGAGCCATGACGCCCCCCGCCTCCCCCTACTCCGCTCCCCGCGAGCCGTGACACCTCCCCAGGCACCAGGAGCCGCCCCACCCCGCTGCCGTCCTTCCGGCCCGCTCGGCCCCAGGGTCCCCTCACCTGGCGGCCGGTCACGCTACCGGCTCCGCAAGCCAGGCCAGGCCGAGCCGAGCCGAGCCGGGCCGGGCCGCTCACTCCCTCCGGCGTCCGGACTCGGGAGAGGCCACCTCGGTGAGGTGGGGCACGACAGCGGCTACCATTGGCCCGACTCGACATGTCGCTCCGCCCCCAACCACTGGAACGCATTCCTATTGGCTGAGATGTGTGTCACTCTCACCTCCGACCCGCTCCTACATTACTGGGTCCTAGAGAGAGAAATGCCTAGAGACGGGGGTGCGGCCCAGGGACTAGGGAGCCTGTGTACGCGGCCTAAGGGATGGGGGAGCCCAGGACACGGGTCCGGGGGTGCGACCTAGGGACTAGGAAATCGGGGGCACGGGCCCAGGGCCTGCACCCCAGGTGGTACAGCACAGGGATGGGGCCACGGGCCCAGGGGTTCAGGGATGGGGGGCACGGGGCTAGGGGGCACAGGGTCAGGGAGGCACAGCCTAGGGGATGGGGGGTGGCACAGGACTGGGCAGTGCAGCATAGGGCCTGGCAGGACGGGCCTGGTAGGGTAACCAGATGTCCTGATTTTATAGGGACAGTCCCAATACTTGAGGCTTTGTCTTATATAGGCACCTATTATCCCCCACGCCCATCCCGATTTTTCATACTTGCTGTCTGGTCACCCTAGGCCTGGGTATAGGGGCAAGTGGATGGGGGGCAGGAGTCTAGGGGTGGGGCATGGGGTCTAAGGACGGGGGCAGGCCTGGGGGCAGAGATTTTGGTCTGCATCTTCAAGGTGCCCAAAAGCCTGGGCCCAAGTTACCTAGCAGGCCCCCAAAGCTGTGGGCTGAGCACCATGCCATGCCTCAGGCCCCATGCAGTTCAGAGCCATCAACTCCAGGGCCTGCAGGGAACCCCTGTCTGATAGGCTACCTTTCCCCATTGCCCTGCCTTATGAAAACAGACAGCCAATCAGAGCTGCTGCCCAGGCTGATGGACAGTCCATTCCCCCAGCAGTTGTAGCAGGCTGAGCTCCCAGCCTTTTCTGGTTCCTCCCGCTTTCCCCATCCCCATGTGTGAGGGGTGGAGATGTTGCCATTCTGTCCCTTCACCGGAGTGCTCAGGGCCTGGCCACTGAGGCTCCTACACAACCCAGCTCCCCTGGGATGGCTGATGTCCCCATTCTCCCATGTGCCCCTGCCTGATGTACTGCCCCCTTTCCCACCTCCCTTCCTTTAGGTGTTGCTGCCACCCTGCCCTTCATCAAACCCCCTGATTCCAGCTGTGTCTTACCCTATGAATCTTCTGGTGGAGCCAGTGGGCTCCTTTCTCCCATCCCCCTGTCTTCAGCACACAGTGAGATTGGAAAGGCTAAGATATGGGATCCCTGCCCACTGTGGAAAGGACCAAACACCAAGACCACCCTCCTGTATAAGACTGGCATGGGGGCAAGGATTCTACTACCCAGCTGAAGTCATACCCTGGCACCTGTGAAAACTCAGCCATAGGGCCTGAAGCTTGGTGACCGTTACAAAAAGGTTGCTGCCAAGCAGTCCTCCCCCAGCACATTCAGGACATCCATCAGTAAGCCTGAGTGACACAAACAAAAAAAGAAAGCCCATTTTCCCCTTTCTGCTTCAGAATTGTCCCCAGTGCCACAGAGAATTTAATAGATCTGAGCTAGCTTATCCACAGAGCAGACGGAAATAAAACCTCACTCTGAGCTGTGCTCACTCAACTGCTCACCACTTGGTATAGGTCACTGGTCCAGATTTTTCAGGAAATGAAGTAACCTTTGTTCTCTGCAAGATGAAACATTGCAGTTTATTCTGCTTACAGCTTCCTTGGGAGAAAATGCAGAAGCTGCAACTAGTGCCAAATGTCCACGTAGGGTTAAAATGAGTGCGGTGGCCATGAGCGCACAACTCCTGGGCTCTTTCCTCTGGTTTCCCATCTAGTTCCAGGTGTAGTTCCAGGAGCTGATAATTATCTAGAAAGCCCAAAATGGCTTTTTGGGACCTGGCTACCTCGGAGACTGCCTCACTCTCTGTGCATTAATTCCACTCAGCTTATAGACTTTAAGGCCAGAAGGAACCATCATGATCATGGAGTCTGACCTCCTGCACAGAACGTCACCCAGCCACTCTCATAATAAACCCCTAACCCCTGGCTGAGTTACTCTGAAGTCCTCAAATCATGATTTAAAGACTTCAAGTTACAGAGAATCCACCATTTACTCTAGTTCAAACCAGCAAGTGATCCCTGCCCATGTTGCAGAGGAAGACACAAACCCCAGGGTCTCTGCCAATCTGACCTGGGAGAAAATTCCTTCATGACCCCAAATATAGCAATGAGTTAGACGCTGAGCATGTGGGCAAGACCCTGCAGTCAGCCTCCTGGGAAAGAATTATCTGTAGTAACTCAGAGCCCTCTCCATCTAGTATCCCATCAGCAGCTGTTGGAGATCTTTGCCGCTAGCTGTTGCAGATCGGCTACACACCATTGTAGGCAGTCTAGTCATACCAATCCCTCCATAAACTTATCACGCTCAGTCCTGAAGCCAATTAAGGTTTTTGTCCCCACTGCTCCCCAGCTGCAGTGCTCTTGACGTCTGTGCCCCAGCTAGATGTTATGGGGTGGGCAGCAGAGCATTCTCTGTGGCAGCTCCTCAAGCGTGGGATTCATTTGCCTTTCTGATCTGCAAGGATCCTCTTTGGCAGATTTTTCAAATGTGAGGAGAAGTATTTGTTCCCTCTGACATTGTCATAAATTCAGTCTGTACCCACAATGTCCCTACCTTCGGGCTAGGGGGAGGTTTAGCACTGAGGTTAGCTTCAGGGTGGGGGGAATGGTAAGCTTTGGGGTAGGGTTAGCAATAGCTGGTAGGGGATATGGTTGAGAGCTAGTTTAGGAAATTAGAGTCAGGTTAAGGAGTATGGTGAAGGGGAGTGATGGGGTTACTGTCAGGGTTAGAGTTATGGGATTGAGTTAGATTAAATTTAGGGTTAGATTTAAGCCTAGGGCAAGATGTAATGACAGGATGAGAGTTAGGCTACAGTTTAGAGTTAGCATCAAGGGTATAGTGAGGATTAGAATTAGCATCAATATTTAGGGTTAGGGCAATTTGCGAGGCAAGAGGCAACAGGTGGGCCATGGGCTGCTGTACAGAGCTTCCGGACTAGGACAGGAGAGAGAGCGGCTGGGCTCAGGACTAACCCAAATTAACTTTGCTGTAACTTCCTGCTTTCTGTGCTAACAAAGAATTTTCTACACTGTGTTCCAAACAACTCATAAACCCTTTTGTTTTTACAATGCTGGCTGAGAGTTGCTGCTGACTGAGGAAGGGGGGGTGCATTGCTCCCCTTTGGGGGTGTGCAAGGCTTTCCCAGGTATCCTATTCAGATGGACTCACTGCAGGGAGCTCCCAGCGTGACAGCGTGAAACGGGTGCTAAAGGCTCTGAGGTTGTTCCCAGGAGGTGTTGAAGTCAAGGAGATTTGTCCCACTGAGAGTGAACCTGAGGGAGTTTCAGAGTAACAGCCGTGTTAGTCTGTATTCGCAAAAAGAAAAGGAGTACTTGTGGCACCTTAGAGACTAACCAATTTATTTGAGCATGAGCTTTAGTGAGCTACAGCTCACTTCATCGGATGCGAGGTTCCTGCCAGGGATTACCTCTATGCCAGCTTCACTGTTGGCTATGCTGTCAATGATGTATTGTGATCAGTGGAACTGCTGTTGGAGGGCTAGGATTCCCTGGAAGGACTGTTATCAAGGGGCACCCCTGGAACAGGGAGAGTTAGGCTGGGAGCAGCTCAGCCACATGGACAGATCGGTGCATTGGCACTTATCTCTTGTGTACTTCCCCATTAGCCTTAGAAGCAAAGTGATCCTGGAATGACTTCCTGTTCCTTGTCCTTTTCTGTCACTTTCAATCCAATTGCTGCTTAAATCGCTGAAACTTACACTGTTTGTTACACATTGTAACTTCTGCTCACTGTTTGCCATTCCTTATACTTGTCCATATTGTAACTCAAACTCCATTTTAAAATGCTCATTCCATTTTGTAAACCCTGCTGCAGCCTTCATTTTGCAAAACCCTGATGTAATCTTATTAGTATAGTTTAGATGTGTGAATGAGGTATGTATAGATGATGGAATCAACCTCCAGCCCCAGCCTGTCCTGATGAAATAAAGTGTAAACACCAACAGCTGAAGATGCAGACAACAGCCCTGACAAAGTAAGAGGAGTCCACCCTCAAAAGAAAAGGACAAAAGTACAATTGAAGAAACATCAAAGCCGGGTCCTAGGCTGAAAGTCATGTCTGCAATTGATAGGTGATCAATCACACTGAACGCAGAGGCAGCGTGACAAAGCAAGACCTATAGACTCTGGATTCAAACTAAAGCCTACGAAAAGGATGGATGAGATGGAAGACTTTGGAGGGTAACATTCTGCTGCCAACATGGAAGGGCATTGGTGCATGCCCAACAGAGACCCAGCTCTTCCTTGTGCCTGGCTTTCTTGGACAGTTAGCTGCAACAAGCTACGAACCCAAGCCACGAACTCAAGCTACATTCAGGACTGGTAACTATCTAGCTGCTGCAGAACATTGGATGTGTGTGTATATACATTGGTATTAGATATTAGTTATTGGTCATAAATTAAATTGTGTTATAATAAATGTGATATCTTGTCTTGTGCCCTGAAACGATCCTGTGTGGCTTTGTCTGCATAACAATTGCTGGCATATGATGGCATATATCACATTAGTAGATGTGCAGGTGAATGAGTCCCTGATGGTGTGGCTGTTGTGGTTGGGTCCTATGATGGTGTCGCTAGAGTAGATATGGGGACAGAGTAGGCAACGAGGTTTGTTACAGGGGTTGGTTTCTGAGTTAGTGTTTCTGTGGTGTGGTGTGTAGTTGCTGGTGAATATTTGCTTCAGGTTTGGGGGTGTCTGTAAGCGAGGACTGGCCTGCCTCCCAAGGACTGTGAGAGTGACGGATCGTTTTCCAAGATAGGTTGTAGATCATTGATGATGTACTGGAGAGGTTTTAGCTGGGGGCTGTACGTGATGGCCAGTGGTGTTCTGTTATTTTCCTTGTTGGGCCTGTCCTGTAGTAGGTGACTTCTGGGTACCCGTCTC